ACCTACTGAAACACAAAGAGCGCCTCCACTGAGGCTTGAAATCACAACCAACGCCTCCACTGAGGCTTGAAATCACAACCTTCCACTTGGAAGTCCACCCCGGATACCATTAGACCACATAGTCCTGGTTAATAAGCTAAGTACCGACTAATTTGATTAGGATTGTCCAAAAAAAAAAAAATACCTTGTGACTTTTGAGGCTGTAATTTCGTCAAGTAAATCACAATCATCCATACTTTTCTCAAAATGGTGCTACAACCAATATTACTAAGCAAGTACAAAATTTTGGGTTGTGTTTATTATAACCCAAGAATATTTCTTTATTTTATTTTTATTTTTTTAGAAAAATGAAAAATTGGTATATATTGTGAAAGTAATAAATTAAATAATATATTATGGGTTACACACGCACACTTGTGTGAGACCGTTTTATGAATCGGGTCGGATCAATATAACAATGTAATACTTATACAGTTATACTGAAAAATGTAATACATATATAGTACTAATAAATAATATATTGTTTGTTACTTATTAGGTAAATTGTAATAGTTTTGAAGAAAAATGTTATACATTTTGATATAAAAGTATTACATTTTCCTTATAAGTAATGTTGACAAATGTTTGTTACTTATAAGAAAAAATGTAATACTTATGAGAAAAAATGTAATACTTATGAGAAAAAATGTAATATTTTAAAATCAAAATATAATGTAAAAGAATTACACTTTCACATATAAGTAATAAACTCTTTATTCCTGTGTAGTATTACATTTTTCAGTATGAGTTTTACATTTTTATATTAACCTGACTCGTCACACCAAAATTTACCTAGATTTATTAGTACATTTGTAATTTTTTTAAATAAAAAAACAATCAAAAAGTCGAGAATGAAAAACCTACTAAACACAACCCAATCTTTTCAAATTTTTTAAAAAGTTAATGACCTTGTGGTCTAGTGGCATGAAATGACTCTCCCAAATGGGAGATCAATGGGTTTGGGGCCCAGTGGGGGTGATATTGATTCTTTGTGCTTCAGTAGGTTAAGAATGTAACTATAAACAGATATTATATTGTACCAGAGTCAGTAGTACTAAAAAAAAAAAATTTATTCTTTAAATTAAAATGTTTGTTACATTTAATTTTTAAATTCAAATACCACCTAGGTCATAACCTAATAACCATATAAGTTTGTTACAAGCTTTATATTAATGAGAATTCAAGTTTAATCTTGAATCATTTCAAATGTACACGAAATAAAGATTATATCTTATAACTAATGCATTCATGACTCGGTCATAAATATCAGCGACAAATATATGTAGTACACTATTATGTACTGTAATTTATTTATTTATTGAATATTTGCACATTATTTCATCTAGTAATAATTACTTTACTCAATAATTCAACTCTAATTGGGCGCACTATTAATTAATACGAAAGTACGGTGCACGATTTATCTGACAATGTACATATATTTAAGACTTTTTTGTCCAATTATTTGAATTTATATATGTATATAGTATGTTCAAGTTGGTGGGAAGAAGACAATATATTAGGCTGTCAGGAAATGAATAAAGCAAGAATTGAGGCACAAAATTCTCTGTAATCTGTATGCTTTTGATATGAAGCAGCTCCCCAGCTGATATAGTGGACTTTCTAGTTTCTTCAATAATAATTTCGGCCTTTACAAATATATATATAGTTGTTAGCTAATTGGTTAGTGGATTTGACTAGTTGATAGCATTATTTGATTGTAAAAAAATATTTTGTAAATTAAATTAGTTAAAGTTTTTTTGAGTATTTTTTCAAATTTTAGCATTTTGGAGTAATAAGTTTTTTGTTATAAAAATCTAATTAATCAAACACTGATATTGATAGTTTAATCAAGTCAAACAGTTAATAGTGATAAAATAAATCAAAATTAATTGATAAGCTAATTATGTTAATGCATGTTTTCATGATATTTATATTATATATTATTCAATAATTGTGAAGAAACCGTCAAAGTCTGCTCAAATGGATTTTAAAAAAGGAAAAAAAAAAAAAAACACATTTCCTCGTTAATAAAACTTTAATTATGGGTCGTGGAATGCATAGTGCAGAGTATTATACTGTCAGTTGACTTTGACTGCATGCAGTAATGCCAGACTCGACATCTGCCTAATTTCAATGAATATATTGCTTTCATTTTAATAAATTCTATTCAATTCATACTTGCACTATATTTGAAATTGCACCGTGAGACTTGAAATCAAAAAGTAATGTATTTTTACTTGTTATTAAGTTATGCACCAGTTACGTTCATTAATTAAACTTGTTTAAGCAAGTGTAAATAACAGAAGTAAAAAGCATAAAGAAACATAAAAACACAAAGAAATTGTTACGCAGTTCGGAGCTCCTTCTCCTACGTCTGCCCAATCCACTATAGATGTTCACCAAAAGGAGTATTACAAGAGGTAAATATAGACGGCCTCCAGCCTTTACCACTACCACTCTTTCTAACACCTATTCAGGACTGACACACAAAAACCCGAACAATCTTTACAAGATGCTTCAGCAGTACCACGTACTGATCATGTAGTACAGATTAAATATTAATAAGAATTAGATAATAAAACCCATTACAATAGAAAGCTTTGTAAATCAGATGTGTGCTCAGTGTATTAATCTCTAAAATTCGCAATTTTCATCTTTCGAATAGCTTCCTTAAATAGTAGATGTTAAGCCTCATTTGTGATCCTTAATCATAGCCTCTTATTTTGTTCAAATTAAATCACAGCCACAACACTTTGTCTCTTTGAAAGCTTCATGCGCTGCTGTCTTTCTCTTCATTCACCAATGCATACCATCCACACATTTAGATATCACATGGTCCAAAATAGACTAAATTCTAACGACTCTAATTAATTTCTTAATTAAAAACAAATAAAGCTATTACTAAATAAAATAGCCAATTAATTTAATGTGTAAATAATTTTTACACTTACAATATTTAACATATATTATTGGTCAAGATCTACCTGGATAGTATTCACTTCGGTTGTATTTAGTAGTTATTACACTACATATATTTTTGAAAATAATTGCAGGTTGGTATCATCTATCGAAGGTGAAGAACACGATAGAACGTAACTGTCCAGATGGATCATATTTTGATCAAATGTAAAAGTCTTTAACTGCTATCTGAAGGTGTACAATGCACTCTGAGTGTAAACTCGTCTTATTATTATTAAGTTGTTGTCAGATCTATAAATTGTAAAGAGATTAATACGTACAAGTCAAATAATGAATATGCTTGAAAATAACACTTCCGTATCTCCTAACGGTCCACACAATCTCATGCAAAACCATAAACAAGATCCAGTAAACTGAGAACATGCTATACAAGCCAAAAAAAAATAAAGTAAACGAAAAATAAAAAAGAGTTGACTTGGTTGTTTCAATATATTATGTAGTAAACCCATATGAGCTTTTAATTTCCATGGGGGGAATATTTTACAAGTACAATGTATACAATTTTAAAAATATATTTAATGCCTATTATTATAAAGTACGGTAACTAGTTGTACAAAATTTTAGTCTCAAGATTTTAGTGATATTGTCACATTTAGTCCGTAATTTTTAATTGGGAAAATGGTCAAATAGGCCCTCGAACTTTAGCTTAAAAGTCAATTAGGCCCCTAAACTTTTTAAAGGTGCAATTACACCCATCAACAATTCATTTAGGTGCAATGAAGCCCAAAAACAAATTAATGACCTGCTATCACAGGTCATTAGGCTTCAGGCCACCTTCCGGCGAATTTTTCGGCAAAAAAAAAAAAAGTGACCGGCGAAATTTTCGGCAAAAGAAGTGACGGGCGAAATTTTCGGCAAATCTGGGTCGGTTGTTGGTCACCATTTTTTTGCCGGAAAATTCGCTGGAAGGTGGCCTGAACCCTAATGACCTGTAATACCAGGTCATTAACTTGTTTTTGGGCTTCATTGCACCTAAATGAATTGTTGATGGGTGTAATTGCACCTTTAAAAAATTTAGGGACCTAATTGACTTTTAAGCTAAAGTTCGAGGGCCTATTTGACCCTTTTTCCTTTTTAATTTGACTACATTAGTTCCACAACATTGCTAATGTTATCACATTTAGTCCTTTGTTACAAATTACAATTAATACTAATATTTAGGACAATTAGGCAATTTTACATTTAACTAGTAGTAAAATCATTATAAATGATATAATAAATAATATTTCGATATGAAAAGATAGTTATTTTTTTCTATGTTTAATTTTATCATTTATGAGCGCTTTTTAAGAAGGAATAAAAGATTAAAATTGTGAAATTATAAAAATTTTCAAAAAATAAAAGGAGGTAAACTAACCTAGGTTACCTATAGTTAAACATGTCATCAAATAAATTAAAAAAATCAACAAAAATTTCTTACAAAAAATTGAATTTGAAATTTTACGGGGCGTTTGGTTGGAATGAAGGAATTAGGGGGGAAATGAATTGTAATTCAGTGGGAAAAGAATAAGGTGGAATAAAGTAGGAATTCAAATTACGTTGTTTGGTAGGGAGAAATAGAATTCTTGGAATTGAGAAGGAAATAAGTGGTATAAAGACTAAAATACCCTTGTGTAATAATAATAGTAATAACAACCAAAGGTAGTAATGCCATTTTATATGTTTTTCCTTTCTCAAATTCATTAAATTGCAATTCATGGGAGTATCCACTGAATTGTAATTTCCTCCAACCAAATAATGTAATTAAGGCATCCACTGAATTATAATTCAACTACAATTAAATTACACTAAACCAAACGCCCTGTTATAGTTACCCAGTCAAATGCTGATCAACTCAATTGGGATTTGTCCCAATTTGATAATCGTCCGACAATAATATAATAAAGCAAGTGGACACACGTCTGTATGTGACACTGGGAATTGCATGCTGGCCTCAAAACAGTATTATAGAGAGGATGGGAGCTAGCGCTTTCTTAATTTAAGTTAAGCAGTTTTCATTTTCTTCAGCTATCTCAAATTAAGCCGATGGAACTGTTAAGGAGCCTTCTCATTTCACTATTATTGCTTCTTTGCTTTACTTCATCCATCGTTGTTCTTTCCCAAGATCCTCAAGCAGGTATATATATACAAATATATTTAATTTGCATCCTCCTATATATCATCGGTGTTGTTTGTGTTAATTTGTATTTTAATCTGTTTTAATTTCCTCTCAGGCTTTATAAGTCTAGATTGCGGGACTCCCAGGGGCGAAAACTATACCGACGACAAAACAGGCTTACGTTACATATCAGATGCGACCTTCATCGGCGACAACGACAACGCCGTCGGAAAAATTGTGTCACCGTATTACAAGGGTATCGGCATTCTCCGCAGACAGTTGATTGCTCTCACCACGTTTCCTCAAGGGATTAGGAATTGCTACACGCTCCGACTGCCTCAAGGGAAGCTGAATAAGTATTTGATACGGGCTAGATTCTTCTATGGAGACTACGACGGCAATGCCGCCGCCGATAAACAGCTCCCGCAGTTCGATCTCCACCTTGGTGTCGAGTACTGGGACACCGTGAAGTTTGATCCCACGTACGATTTAATTTCTGTGGACAAGGAGATCGTGCATATTCTTTCCTCCGACCTCGTACATGTGTGCCTTGTCAACACGGGGCTCGGCACGCCCTTCATCTCCGCCCTTGAGCTCCGGCCACTCAGCAATTCTATGTACCCTACTGTTTCCGGTGGATCCTTGATGATGAACACACGGCTTGATATAGGCTCCCAGGCTACACAAGTTCTCAGGTGGGTTACGTTACACTTATTCAATCTTTGCGTCATCTCTATTTGATCTTAAATTCTTTGTTTGAGTAACTCGAAAAACTTGCTGATGGAATAATTACGGAGCGGACTTGGAGCGAATAACTATGGAGTGGATCACACAGGGCACCGAGCGGACTACGCACGCGGCCGGACAGACCATGGAGGGGTCTACCACCCCGGGGTCCTCGACTACTACCACGGGGTCCTTGGCTACTACCTCCCCGGGGTCCTCGGCTACTATCACGGGGTCCCCGGCTACTATGCACACGGAGTGACGAACCACCCCGGGGTCGGCTAACCACCCGGGGGTCGGCCACTGGGCTCGGCACCCCGGGTTTGGCCTACGTAGGTCGGCCACCACGGGGTCGGCAGACGCGCCCGGGGTCGGCCAGAACACCCAGGGTCGGCCAGCACACCCAGGGTCGGCCTACGCGGGGTCGGCCTGGCGTGAGGTCGGCTCGCCGTCGAGCCGACCTCCACGGGCTCGGCCTCGTGGGCTCGGCCCCATGGGCTCGGCCGAGCCCATGGCCGGCACCTTGGCCGAGCTCCGTGCTCGGCCAAGGACCGGGTCCTCGCGTGGAGCGAGTCCCGCGGCGTGGGCCGCGGCTCCTCCCGCGTGACCCGGGCCCGGTCCGGCCGGGGGTATAAAAACACCCCTCGGTGTCCTATTCAAGCATCTTCTACCTTTCATACAATACTTGTAACGTTATTACACGTCCCGAACCTCTGTAATAGCATTATACGCTCAATTAATACAATATTTATCGTTTATTATTTATTTATTATATTCAAACCTATATTCGGGTTGTATAATCCGGACCCCCGGGTTCATATAATCCATCATTGGTGCTCTTGTTGAGAGCGGTTGTACAAGCTTAAGCGCTCTCCCTATTATCCTTCATCCGCAGCGATGACAAGATCCGGGTCGAACACCCACAACTCGCATGGTTCACGCAACACACGCAACCTCTCCCTCGCTAACCACCCCAACGGGACCACGAGAGTCGGCAGACCGTGCCCGTGGGGACGGGATGGGACCTCAGAGATCAGATCAACGGGAACCGGAGGGGGACGGCGGAGGACCTCCGGGGTCGGCTCACCAACAATCGCCCGCTCAGCGGGATGGCGCCACCCGTCCCACCCCCGATTCCGACTCCCCAAGAGGAGGCCGTCGGACTCGAGCAGGCGGCGACCGCACTCAACCGCGTCGTGGCGGAGCTGCGACGGGGTGCCCTGGCATATCCACCTCCGCCCCGTCCGAGGGAGCACGGCGCCCCCAACACTCATATACCTCGGGCTCTTAGGACGCCAACCGATGGAGAAGTCAACTCACCGTGACCATCTGAGAGACGAGGAAAAGCAGAGGCCAGCCGAGAGGCCGGCACTAGCAACGGGAGGAGAGGAGGACTCGGCCGACCCGGACCACATCCGCGCTCGGGCGGTTGGGCCCGCGTGTGCCGGCGCGAGACCGCCTAGGGCCGAGGCCGGCCGCAAATGCCTAACAGGCAGAGTCGTCGTGTTCGCGGAGGTCCCAGAGCCATGAACCTCGCGTTCCGGGGCCACGGGAGCCGACCCCAACAATAGAGTACTCGAGGGAGACCACGCCGAAGGCCCCTACAACGCTCGAAAGAATAAGGATGGTGTTAGACCATCCGCCTCCGCCCCGCGCAAGAGGAAACTCGACCAACTCACGGAGGACGAGGAGACCGAGCCGGACAGCCTGGCAAAGAAGAAGGTCATCCACGTCATCTTCGGCGGCCCGGAGGGTGGAGACACGCCCGCCGAGAGGAAGAGGTGGGCGCGGAGCCTATACGTGGGGGAGGTTGTCCGGGTGCCCCACGAAAAGAGGATACGCCAGGAGCCCGTAACGTTCACCGACGACGACCTCCCGGACGGCCCCTTGCCCCACCGAGACGCGTTGGTTATCAAGCTGGAGATCAAGGACATCATTGTCCACCGTGTACTAGTGGACACGGGGAGCTCTGTGAACGTCATGTATTATGACACCTTCACGCAATTTGGATTGTCCCGGAAGCAGCTCTCCCCGGTACAGACCCCGCTATCTGGTTTCACCGGGGACTCCATCGAAACAGAGGGCTCCATCACCCTCGAGGTGCAGATCGGCACCCCGCCGCACGTCAAAAAGTGAGAGGTGGAGTTCGTGGTGGTGAAAATCAGATGCGCCCATAACATCATCCTCGGCTGACCTGCCTTGGAGGACCACAGGTGCATCATCTCCATGGGGCACCTTTGCCTCAAGTTCCCCACCCCCACTGGAGTGGGTGTCGCGCGAGGAGATCAAAAAATCAGTCGGAGCTGGTACTTGAAAGCATGCCGCCAAATAACAAAGAAGGACCTCCAGGTACATACCGTAACCGAGAAGGCGCTTCGAGATGAGGAGAAGCGTCCCCGAGCCGAACCCGCGGTGGAGACAGAAGAGGTCATTCTGGAACTCAGCCGACCCGATGGAGGTGGCCAATGGAGATGTTCATCTGACCGCCCCTAGTGTGCATCGCGAGGCCGGCCAAGAACTCTTCAAAAGGTCGGGGGAGACCTCGTCGAGAGGTCGGGGGAGACCTCTTCGAGAGGTCGGCGGAGACCTCCTCGAGAGGTCGGCGGAGACCTCCTCGAGAGGTCAGCCAGGACCTCCCCGAGAGGTCGCCGAGACCGCCGACCTCTTAGCGAAATAGGGCACATAAGGGAGGTCCTATACCCGGCATGGCTCGCGAACGTAGTCCTCGCACCCAAACCACCTACGTGGAGGATGTGTGTGGACTACACGGACCTCAACAAGGCATGCCCCATGGACCCCTTCCCGCTACGCAACATAGACCAGTTGGGGGCCGAGACGGCGGGATGCGCGCTCATGAGCTTCCTAGACGCCATTCGGGGGTACCACCAAATCTTCATGCACGAGGATGACGAAGAAAAGACGGCGTTCACCACCCCCGAAGGGGTCTTTTGCTACCGGGTCATGGCCTTCGGGCTCAAGAACTCGAGAGCCACGTACACAAGAATGGTGGCCAAGGTGTTGAAGAAGGTCCTTGGCCGAACTTGCAAGCTTACGTCGACGACATGATTGTTAAGAGCTCCGAGGCCGACCTCCACATAGCCGACCTGACCGAGGTACCCCGAAGTAAAAACGGGGACGCGGACTTGCTATCCAAGCTCGGCCTCGGCACCCCGGAGCATGTCTTTAAGATAACACGGATTGAGGACCTCCCGAGGTCCAGCCTAGAGGCCTACCCAGTCCTCCCCATACAAACTCGGCCCCCATGCTGGTTAGACTACCTGGTGGAGTACAAGAGAACCGTCACCCTGCCAGCAGATGAGGTGGCCGCCAAGGTAGTCAAGAGGAGGTCACCAACATACGTACTCCTTGGCGACACCCTTTACAAAAGGTCCTATAACGGCGCCCTCCTCCGGTGTTTATACCTAGACGAAGCCAAGTTCGTCAAGGAAGAGATACATGAGGGCACCTGTGCGGCACACCAAGGAGCCTTCGCCATGGCGAGGAGGGCCCTATTGCAGGGGTACTTTTGGCCGAATATGGCCAAGGAGTGCGTGGAGTACGCCCGAGGGTGCCCGACCTGCCAGCACTTTCACGCGGAGCCGGGTCGGCCAACAACCAGCTACACGCCCACCAGCACGGTGATCTCATTCTCAATGTGGGGAATCGACATAGTCGGGGCCCTACCCATGGGGGTCCGCGAAGAGGAAGTACATCATAGTCGCCATAGACTATTTTACAAAGTGGGTCGAAGCCGAGCCCCTCGCCACCATCACGAGCACCCGGGTGCATGGAGTTCGTATCGAGGAACATTCTGTACTGCTTTGGGGTCCCCATGCAAATCATCTCCGACAACGGGCGGCAATTTGAGAGCAAAGAGTTCAAGGAGTTCTGCGACCAATGGTACATAAAACACACCCGTGTGGCGGTGGCGTACCCGCAGGCAAATGGACAGGTGGAGAACGCCAACAGAACTATAGTGGAAGGCATCAAGAAGAACCTGGATGCAGCCGGAGGTACATGGGTGGAGGAGTTGGACACCGTCCTATAGGCGTACCGCACCACCACAAGAAGAGCTACCGGGGAAACTCCGTTTGCGCTAGCATACGGATTCGAAGCGCGGGCCCCCACCGAGGCCGCAATACCATCCTATCGGGTCGCGGTGTACGACCCCGACCTCAATGAGGAGCACCCGCCGCCGACCTCCACCTCATCGACGACAGAAGGGAGGACGCCATGGTTCGCGCGGAAAATTACCAGCGCCAGACGAAGGCATACCATGACAACAGGGTTCG